GATTGACTATCAGACATTGCTTGAAGCGGATGTTCTGCTTCAACCTCTGTCTGAGTGGCAGCAGCATTTCTGTTACCATAAACACTGTACACCACAGTTTGGTTTCCAGAGACCCAGGTGATTGCAGTTTGACAGCCCTGATCAACCTTTGGGCAAGGAGTAGAAACGGCTGCAGCCTACGATTTTGTGAAATACATGAGATTATTTACTGGTAAAAGATTCTTTGCTTCATTGAATGATATATTGTTGGTGTGCTTCAATTTCAAAATTTTAGTTTGTTTTTCATATGCTGGACATAATTTGTGCAGTTAACGTTTTCATGTTTCCACCAAAACGGGAACAAACTGGGGAGCTGTGACATGACGTAGCTCCATGTTCAGACTGTTGACATTGAAAACATCGAGGTGGATTTGGGATGTACACTTCCCCTTCGATGGTAAAATATCCAGGTTTATTGATTTATGGAGTGACGTGAAACAGAAGGTAAACAGGTACGTATTTGTCTTAATTATATCATCGCCGTTTTTCCGAGTAAATCTCTTTACATATGTGACACCTTTGGTTTTCAGTTCAGAAGCAATTACTTTCTCTGACGTGTCAGCGAGACATTTTGCTCGATCACGAACCATGCCTCTGCATGAATTAAGTGTTTGTGTATTGAGACAGTAATCCCAGTAACGAGCTTCGAGCAAATTGATACATAGCTGTCACTTTCCTCACTTAACCACATATTCCAGCGATGCCTTTTCATGTGGCAAAGGGGTTAAGCTTCAAAGGCTGTCCATAAATTCCCTCCACAACCAGAAATCGTGGCCAGGAATCAACACTAATTGCGGTAGAATCATCAACAAAGCTGACAAAGCATCTATTTCAACATGTCGTCTCTTGGTTTTCGATTGATAACCAGTTAGATTAGGAAAAAACGGATATTAGACAACCCTGCTCCCCACTCACCATGGCATGTTAACAAGGACGGTGAAAACCGACTCTGTAACACTATTGTTACAGTGTTGTTATACTCGAACAATACAGACACAGGTAGCTAATATTGTCAAACAGAATAAAAGTGAGGCTGGTTCCACCCATGGCTATTATCTGAAGACACTTAGAACACGGAGGTCAGTAATGCCATAATGCAACTGGCAGTACTCTAGGCAGGTTAACAAGTTTCCAACGTGAGAGGATAACAAAATTATTCCGTTGAAAAGATACATAGATATACATAATCCAAATTTGAAGTTGACCATGCACAGGGCATGACATGACCCGCCGATTGATAAGTGATGTAAGGGTCCTGTAAGAACACTGCTCCTGGATCCTGTGCCCTCAGCCACCAGGCTCCCGTCCTCCACCGACACAGGGGCACAACCCACGGCAAACAGGTTGCCCAATGCGGTCGCCTCTTACGACCAGCACACGGTACTGTGGACACATTCTACCCCGGGTCCACACGGTACTGTGGACACATTCTACCCCGGGTCCACACAGTACTGTGGACACATTCTACCCCGGGTCCACACGGCACTGTCCTTGTTGAACATACATCATGTCACTTACGAATTCAGGTTGGAATAGAAGCAACAAAAAAGAAGGCTGACCATCTTCCATGAAATGAAAGTGTTTCAGTTTCAAAGCAACAAGAATCTTGGCCTAAGTTTACAGTCATTGCATTTACAAATGGAGAATCTCCCGAACTCAATCCCTTTGCTATATCAAAGACAATTCAGTCTATATGTGGAGAAGTACAGTACGTCTACGTTTTGTCGAGTGTTTGCGTCGTCAACAGTCAATCAATTTATTATGACAAAAGTCTGCAAATATACTGAGTCAAAAAAGAAACTTCACATTCTTTCTTCAGGGCACTATAAAAAAACAAGAGATGGTAAGATGGTTAAATTGTTATTATTTCAATGCTGAGATCTGTGTGATGTACTCGATACACTGACAGTGCCATAATCAGTTCCATTAGGCTACACCGCCGTTCCAAAACATGGGTATACAGAATGTCAAGTCACAAGAATAACAATGCGAAGTGTCTCAGTTCAATATCTCGTATGGCCGCCCCGCCCTCATTCACTACTGCCAAACACCGTCTCCTCATCGACTGCCTGATGCTTGTGAACACGTGGTTGGGGATTCTGCGCCATTGCTCTTGCAAGGTAGCGCGAAGTTCCTGCAAATTCTGAGGTTGGTTCCTAAGACCACGAAGCCTTCTCCCAAGTGCATCCCAAACGTGCTCTATTGGATTAAGGTCAGGGGACCTCGATGGCCAGTCCATGACGTTGATTCCAGCGTTTTGAAGGAAATTTCGTGTCAACATCGCGGTATGCGGCCGAGCATTATCATGCTGGAACTGCAGACCTGGGCCATGAGCCGCCATGAAAGGAACGAGTTCAGGGGTGAGCACCTGATCGCGGTAAGCAGCAGCTGTGGAGTTTCCACGGATGACCAGAAGTCGGGAACGGTTGTTCCCACAGAAATCACCCCACACCATGCAACTTCCGCCCCCGAATCTGTCGACTTCCTGTACACAACATTGGGCATACCGTTCACGACGTCGTCTCCAGACTCTATGCCTTCCGTCCGCGAATCTGAGGGTAAACTTGCATTCATCGCTAAAGACGACTCTATTCCAATCTCTCTGGGTCGATCGGAGGTGACGTTGGGCCCACAGCAGACGTTGACGTTGATGAAACGGCGTCAATATTGGCCCACGATATGGACGTCGAGAATGGAAATTGGCAGCCCGCAACCGATTTCGAATGGTCTGTGAGGACAGTCGACCTCTAAACACCTCAGCCCTGGTTCGTGTAGCCGGCAGAAATCTGTCACGTAGGTGACGTAGGAAGATTTGACGGTCTTCTGCTCGTGACGTCACACGTGGACGACCCGACCTTGGGCGATCAGAAGTTTAAAAGTGTTTTTTCAATTCTTGAGGCCAATGCAAACACGTGCATATGAAGAAAACTTCGATGCGAAGATCACGTGATCGACTGCACGTGCAAAACCTGATTTGGCACTAACGTCATTTGCACGACGAATGGATGGGTTTGAGTGGGTTTTGCTAACGTTTTTCTAGAGTCGACAGACAAGGATCCCATTTCGGATACATAGATGTATCATCAGAGAAAGGTTATTCATTATTTTTCAAATTACATTTTGTGAAGTTTCTTTTTTGACTCAGTATATTAGTGCTGCTGCCTCACTGCACAAAACATTAAACTCCTGCAGAGACATTGTTAGGGACGGAGCTCGGTGTTCGGCGGACATATCTGAAGAGGAAACTGAAAAATCAAAACATTACTTCTGCCAAACGCTTTACTGTCAGGAAGTAGAATGGTAGAACTAAACCCAAGCAATACCTAGCCGTTCACATTTGTGCTATGTACTGGAGGTGGAGGTGTGTATCCTGAATCAACTCCGATGTTATAACTATCAAACGTTTGGACACGGTTGTAAATCTATAGCCTTGTAATGCATTCAGCACAAATCTCAAAGAAATTTATCATCTCTGATTCTCTCTCCTGTCTGCAGACAGTTCATGGTTCACCCCAAGCAACCTATTATACTTGATATAACAGTGAACTCTTATTTACAGTGAACTCATCTCTTTTGTTGGTTACTAAGTCATGTCGGCATAGCTGTTAACTCAAAGGCCGATATTGCAGCTAAAGTAGCTCTTGCTGAATCGGTCTCGCCACTACATATACCATACTCTGATTTTAATCCATATACCAGTGAGTCTCTCTAAACAAACTAGAAACGCCCAAGTAGGTATAAAGAAGCTGATTGAAAATAAACGAACTTTAGGCTATACATATACCTTAGGATGTCCGTCAAATTGTCGAATTGGCCATACCCGCTTTAGTCATGAATAGTTGTTAACAAAATGAGGATCCTACTTTCTGATTCCCAAGTGATGAGATAATCACAGTCAAGAAGGTTTTGATTGACTGGGTAGACTTCTCTCCTACAAGGGATAGCTATTACTATATTCTTGTAAAGGATGTTTTCATTATTGTTCAATTAATGTCCTCCTGAGAGGGTACATAAGTCCCAGAAATATTCAAAGAAGTTAGAACATTCTCTGTCTTTTAATCGTTGTATATGTGTTATATTAATTTTTGGCTAGATTTGTCTCCAATTGCTAGCATCTGAAGGGAGGGTGTCATGCCCAGCTGGGTCCATGCAGGTGGGCGTTTATTGTGTAGTTAAATACTTAGCATTTGAAACTGATCTCTAGTTTTAATTTATCTGTGATAATCTAGTTGTACTGACCGTCGATGGCAGCATTTTATGATTATGAACATATGTACTGTCAGTACATGGCCTCTTGCTGTCACGATATGGCTGAAATAAAGCCGATGTTACGTAAACTGTGAACTCACTCACTATGCCTAACTGATGCATACCCTGTTGGAATACATCGGACATGGAATTGGTTTTGCAAAATTCAGTCACATCATGCCATAAATTAAGCCAAAAGAAATGGAGTGAGTGAGTGAGTGAGTGAGTGAATTAAAATTTATCGTCACATCGGCAATATTTCAGCCATATCGTGACGAGAACAATTAATTGGTACACATAGTAAGTAATAGTAAATTATAAAAGCCTGCCTACGAAGGACAGTAAAATAACTAGAATATCACAAAGAATAATTTAAAAACTAGTAATTATATCTAAAACAGTTTAACTATAGTTGACAATACAATATAAAACCGGGCTATAGATTGCCAACAACTGAAGGTAGATCACTATACTAGGGACCATGGGGACTTACAGTACTTTTGCTTCCTGCATGGACCCTAGCTGGATTTACACCATCCCTCAGCTATTAGCAATTTTAGATATTCAAGCCACAAATTAAAAGAACACATTTGCTACGATTAAAAATAACAGTAGATATAAATTTACATTGAATGCTTTGGGACTTACGTACCCTCTCAGGAGGACAATAATTTTACCCTACTTCAACCCCCTTTGAGGGCACAGCCACTAACAATCTCAGTTATTAATCTAAACTACCAACAATAAAATATTTAACTATTTACAGATCAGTAAGCAAATCTAATTCTTTTAAAAATTCAACTATTAAATGATAATTAACATTATAAAAAAGATCCTTCAAAGTTTTGACATTGAAATACTTATCCCTTGTGATGGAATATTCAACACAGTCAAGCAGGACATGCTTGACCGTGATTCTTTCATCACAAGGGATACAAAACGGAGGATCTTCGCCTTTCAGTAAATACTCGTGAGTATATCTAGTGTGGCCAATGCGACATCGTCGCATAATGACCTCTTCAAATCTGGACTGACAACCCAAGTAGGTGTAACCAATGTAGGGTTTTATTGCATGTAATTTATTAATACCTACTTGGGTGTCCCACTTCTTTTGCATTAGATCGCGGATGTATGTTCTAATGCTGGCTTTACAATCAGAGTATGGGATCAGAAGTGGTGTCACAGATTTGTTGAGTGCTGCCTTAGCAGCAATATCAGCCATGGTGTTCCCAGAAATGCCAACGTGGCTGGGTAACCAACAAAAGACGATGTCGCATTGGCCAGTAGCAAGATCATTATATAATTCGATTATTTCAATTAAAAGTGGATGTTTGCAAGAGAGATTTTAATAGCCTGAAGGCAAAGAAAGAGAGTCAGAAAATATTATATATTGTTTATGTTTGGGATGTCTTTGAATATATTTAAGAGCTGTTAAGATGGCGTTTGCTTCTGCTGTAAATATAGAGCTGTTATCTGGTATTCTAGAAGATATTGTTCTGGATCCAATGACAGTGGCACATGCCACTGCGACACCATCCTTGGACCCATCTGTAAATAAGGATTTTTATGTATTATAGTTATTCTTTAATTGATTATATTCTTGTTTATACTGTAATTCGTTAGTTTCGGATTTTTTAAACTTTGTCAGTGTTAGGTCAACTTGTGGCCTCACTAATTGCCAAGGAGGAGAAGAAAGAAGACGGGAAGGAGATATATTCTCCAACTCAATGCCAGCAGCAGAAATATATTGTTGGATTCTTATCCCAAGAGGTGGAACAAGTGAAGGTTTTTTATATATATTTTTTTTATACAAGTCCTCTTAAAGAGGATTAAAAACGCAAGTGTGAGCAGGATTGGATTCATTAGAATATAACTTTGTGATATATTGTAGGGACAATTTGATACGGCGAAGTTTTAAAGATGGCTCATCGGCCTCAACGTAGAGAGACTGTCAATGGGAGAGGTTCTGAAAGACCCAAGACAAAGTCTTAGACCCTGGTGATGGATAGAATCAAGTAGTTTGAGGTTGCTTTTACAGGCCCCACCATATACGATAGAGCCGTAATCAAGTTTCGATCGGACCAGTGATCTATACAAATGAAGGAGGGTCCAAAAGAAATGGAGTCAAATGTAGTCAAAGTTTTGTTAACTCCTAAATGACCCGCCAAAGGAATTCCATGTGTCAAACTAAAAACGTGACAGACAAATTGTTGGGTCCAGCAAATGTACCATCTAATCCCTGTCTCAAAGATTGACCATAATCCTTAAAACTATTAAGGTAGGACATTGTCGATATTCACAGAAAGTATTTGAAAGTATTTGAGACAAGTGGAATTAATACCATGTGGATTCAAAATATTTGCTTACATTCTTACAATATCAGAGTTCCGTTGTGTGAAAACATTTGATTTTTCAACGTTATATTCCACTACCCCGAATGTCAAACTTCAGGAAAAATATTATTCCTTGATCCAAGGGGCATTTGTAAACAAACATGGTGAACACAGAGGTTCCGGACAATTTGTCAAAAATGAAAGCAAATGTCATTTGAAGTTTACCGAGAAAACAATGCTGGAATTTCTCATTGATAACATCTTTGTGAAATTTGGCAACAAAACATTTCGCCAAAAAGGAAGCACACCAAAGAGCACGAACTGTGCTCTCCTTCTTGCGGATCTGTTTCTTTATGCAAATGAATGAGAATTTCTGCTTGGATTGGCAAATCAATCAATTAACTTAAGCTTCAGGTATATTCAGATGATTTTATATCGTTTAATAACCACCAAATAGCCAGTTTCCGCACACTGCTATACCCACTTGAACTTTTTACTAAGTTTTTAATGAGCGTCACACCACTCTTGCTCGGAATTTAGGTTACAACATTCAAGGCCTCAGTAAAGCTTCAAAAACCTTTACTTTACGATATGTGGAGGACAGTTCGAAATTGGATGCATCAGTGACACAAAATGTCTGATGCAATTCCCTATTTTGACTTGTACCATATACGTTCCAGAATTATTTCAGGTTACAAATTGACTAGACTTCGCAAATGTTTATGGGATCACCGTAGGCTTACCATTGGAACCAGTGGAACAGACACCTTTAGCGGACACAAAATCTTGACTAAGCACTCCTCACTCAAAACAATATACTTTGATGACTGATCTATGAAGGCTAACTCCTCTTTAACTGAACTGTGCACAACAAGACTATGACTTGACATTCACAAAATCATTGGGGGAAGAATGATTGTTTTTTCAAAGCGAGCTTTCTACAGTCAGAATGACTAGCCCTGGCTTACGGCGGTATCTGCAAGTAGGCTCGGGTGAAAACCCAGAAGTATCTTTGGAACGAACTGGAGTAGGATTTGACTGTTTTGTCAACAAAATCCAAACGCGACTTTGAAATGTTTTAACAGGAATTGGCAGAAATTGAACCATCCCCGTCTGGTTTATAACCATCTGAACTCCTGCCTGAAATGTCCGACTGCCTAAAACTAACCCTATGTGTTTGTGAATAATCATCCGCTTAATTAGCAGCTTGGTGCAAGTTCATCTGTTCATCAAGATACATATCTTGAAATGCTCAAACAAAGGTCAACTGCCTCAAACCATCAAATCACCACATACCTCTTTTTGCCGTGCATTTTTTTCTCCCAAAGCTAACTTAATAAATGAAGCTTTTCTTATTAAACCTACACCTTTGCCTGTAAGACGCAAGAACCAAATCGTAAGCCTTCAAAACAGCAGGATTAACAGTCTGATACCAGAAGTCCTAGGTAAAGAAAACAACAAACAGCCTGATCCTAAACGTTTCCTCCAAATACACTTCACAGCAACATTGTTCACTAGTTTTCATTTCAAGTTGTTATCCACCTTTTCATTATGTAAGAAGAACCTTTCAACACCTCGTCCAGGGAAAGGCAGAAGAAGTCTTATCGCCCTCAAAAGATCCAACAATATCAGTTTAATAATTCGTTATAAATTGTTTCAGGTTAATTTCTTTTCCATCTTTCCATTATTTCATATTAATGTTGTGTTACATTGCCAATTTTTCTCTTTCGAATTGTAACTATCTCCTGAATCAAACGTCAGTCTTCTCCTCAATCAAGGCAAAACCATCATCATCAAACTTTCGTCCTCAACCAGGAATGTGATCAAATTTCTTCAAATCGACCTTAAGCATACCGGATTTGGTGCACATATTGATAGCTTATGAATACTGCTGGTAATTTGTCAGTTTGGAGAAACAGAGGATAAAATCTAATTCACCAACAGTGAATGATGAACGTAACAAAGAGAGGCTGTGAGATTTTGTACTCCTATCAACCAGCTGAATGTGATGTTGCAGTATTATGTCTCTATAGCATGACTGCTAAGGGATATTTCTCCTTGCACTCATAAACCCAACCGTAAGAGAAGAGATTCAAAGTCTGATTGCTATTTCGATGGATTTAGTTAAAAGAAAGAAAAATAAAAGACAAAGTTACTAATATCCCCGCAATGGCAATTACTCTTGGAAGTATTGGAAGGTCTTATAATTCTGCTCCGGAAAAGAGCACTACCACAAATCAAAGTCAAACTTGTTGCCATGGAACTGGAGTCCATGTTAATACCCCCATAAAACGTAAGGAGGCAGATATTCTCAGCCGTAAGCTTGACTCTAACAGACTTGAAGATTCCAATAATTCTCGGCAGTCCTCTTGTGGAACAATTAATATGTCACCTTACATATCACTTTGTTTCAGGGACTATATGCTGGACATTTCACATGTTTGAGTGTTGATTTGTCATTTACAGTTTCAACAGTTAGCAAAAGTAAATGTAAAGTAATGTCTGTTAATATGGTAGAGTGAGTGAGTGAGTTTAGTTTTACGCCGCTTTTAGCAATATTCCAGCAATATCACGGCGGGGACACCAGAAATGGAAGCTTCACAAATTTTACCCATGTGGGGAATCGAACCTGGGTGACGAGCAAGAGCTTTAACCACTAGGCTACTCCACCGCCCCTAATATGGTATGATCTGGAGAAGCTTGACTCCATGTTTTACATGAACAGGATATATCACAGTAGTACTCTCACAAAGATTCCTGGACACTGCGATGTGAACACTAAAATGCTTTAAAAGCTAAAATACATGGGATTATCATGAAACAGCCCTCCATTATCAGAAATGTGCGGGCCGCTGCAAATATATGGACCGCTCAACCTTAACGACGGGCCACTATCAGTTCTGTTGTCAAGTGACGTCATAGAGGGTGCGTGGGCTTACGGTTCATTCGACATTAATTGGCTTTCGACTGGCAGATATTCTGGATCAAACAAGTCAAAGGAACCCGAATTCCCGCTTTAAATAGCGGTAATATTGGCTTTTCTTGTTGGTGCTAACCACTGCACTATTAAGGCTGTTGATGGACCAAAACCGAACACTGACATAGTTTGACATGTTGCAGGCTATGGTCTTGTCAGAGGGCCAAGCTCGAATATCGTCACTTTCTGTTGTGACGTCACTTGAATTGATCGATGACGTCATTGCATTCGGGCAGTCAACCCCGTCAGAAGTTGATTTGGGTAAACTTACAGTCAAATTCCTTCATTGTTTCTTTTTCTTTTCAACACAAATTCCATGCATTTTAGCAATAATAACGGTAATGCTATTTTATTAGGGCATTATCATTTTGCAGAAGACCTCGGGCAGAACACGGACGAACGGACGGTACTCGTTTCTATATCCCCTTCAACTTCGTTGTTGCGGGGGATAAAAAGAGTTCACAAAAGCAAATCCCCGACTATGCGGCAACCCCACAATGCACCCAAATAACAAAGTAAAGGATATATTCATCTTGCTAAGTTAGGTTTCTAAACTTTAGCAATATGGACAGAAACACGATGCTCGAACACACCCCAATATATACTCAAATTTAAAACATTAAAGAGAATCAAACCTGTCACACTGAGCAACGCAGCTGCCAATACGCACACCACTGCATTAGCCATCGTCCGACGAAAGAAACTACTTCACTGTGTTTCAATAATGCCATCAAACCTCGAGGGTAACCATGGTGAACTTGTATTCCTGTTTATCAAATACTAGCAGGCGAGTATAATGTAGTGCAGCTTTGACATTTCAGCACTCTATAAAACATACTCCTCTTACCCAATAACTGTCATGCATTTGGAACAAAGACGGTAATTGTTTTCTGAGTAGGTACTTAGCGAGTGAGTTTTCACTCGTGGCAATATTACAACCATATCGTGACTTAAAAAGTTATAAATTCATGACAAATACACACATTTTAAAAACCTGTCGACAAAGGACAGTGATACCAACTAGTATATCTCACAGTAACGAGAATTAAAATCTCTAAAGAGGATTTCAATTAGGACAATACAATATAAAGATGGGCTGAGTATCAAGTGGGTACTGAGAAAATATCACATACCAAACAAAGAAGTTACCGACCACGTGACTGATTGTGAAATGAGTATCCTTCAGCAGTTGGTTGGTATTCTGTTTGGAATTCTATGTTATGAGTAGATAAAATCATGTTGATGAGTTTTCATATTATTTATTTGAACAAGTGTCTGCACTTTGACAATATTAAAGACTAATTCTAAATTGTTCTTTATGCACCGAGGATTGTATTTTTTGAACAGGAATGGTTAGTTTCAATATCCATCAATACCCAACCCGTGACTATGATATGTCTTATTCTAATCTGTTCTTCATGCACCGAGGATTGTATTATTTGAACAGGAATGGTTAGTTTCAATATCCATCAATACCCAACCCGTGACAATGATATGTCTTATTCTAATCTGTTCTTCATGCACCGAGGATTGTATTATTTGAACAGGAATGGTTAGTTTCAATATCCATCAATACCCAACCCGTGACTATGATATGTCTTATTCTAATCTGTTCTTCATGCACCGAGGATTAGATTATTTGAGCAAGTTTGACTAGTTTTATGCCAGTACCCGAACTGTTCGTGACTGTGATGTGTTATATGGCTTATTCCGTTATGCCTATGAACTAGAAAGATCTATGAAAAATTCCGAGGAAAAACTCCGTGGGATTGACAATTGTGATGCCACTCCGGGTCAGAAGTTCTGTATTTTTAGATGCGCATGTACCACCTTACCAAGCCGAATTGTCCTTCAAGTAAACGTAATGTATACGTAGGTGTATATACAGATGGCGAAGGGAACTTGTGCGTTCCAAGTTTATTACAGGAGCAGAGTGTTCACACTGAACTTTACAGTGATAGCATTGTGTACGTTACACATGGATAGATGATACGTTGTATACATTTAGAATACATCCATTATAGCACATTTGAAATAACATATATCCTTTTATACAAGTAAACAATGCAGCTGTCCGTAAACTTCGTACGAATCGAGCATTTGACAAAACGTGAAAAACGCGTAATTGTGAGTGAGTGAGTGAGTGAGTATGGTTTAACACCGCTTTTAGCAATATTCCAGCAATATCACGACGGGGGACACCAGAAATGGGCCTCGCTCATTGTACGCATGTCAGAGTCGAACCTAGGTCTTCGGCATGACGAGCGCGTAATTGTGGAACAGTGGTCCCAATGCACGTGCATGACCGTGGTATAAATACTGATGCTGGACACAGCAAGCAGGCAGTAGGCAAGTAATAACCACGGCGGTGACAGCACCAAGACACGCCATCAGCTGACGAACAGTCAGTCCTTCGACGAAACCTTCTTTCCCATCCGTTGGGTAGCTTTGACCCGTCTACATCATCAACAAGGGGCACGAACTGTGCATCAGTAGCAGCACGCCATGGCTGGGAGAGTGATTTTTACCGATGAAAGTTGGTTCAGTCTGTACAGAAACGATGGCGGATTTCGAGTTTATCGGGTAGCGGATAGTGCCATACTACGTTAACAAGATCAACCTGTCGATGGAGGAGGCGTCATGGTACGGGGAGGAGGGAGAATGGTATGGGAGGGTGAGAATGGTACGGGAAGGAGAATGGTGCAGGAGGGAGAATGGTATGGAGGGAGAGATGGTATGGGGAGGGAGAATGGTACGGGGAGGGAGAATGGTATGGGTCATTTGTGACAAAGAGAACAACAAGACTGGTTATGATCCGAGGAAATCTGAATGCCCAGTGATACAAGGATGGAGTGCTGAGACCTGTTGTGTTCTCCCCGTTGAATATCTCTGGGATCATCTATCCTCCTGAGGGAGGATACGTAAATCCAAAACTTTCAAATTCAAATTCAAAGTTACCAGATTTTTTAAACGCAGTATTTTCGTGTTATTTAAAAAAATTCCACCACAATTCCAGCGGCTGAAAGGATGGTGTACATCCAACTAGGGTCCATGCAGGTAATAAAAATACCCATAGTCCCTAGTGTGTTGATCTACAACCTTCAGTTGTTGGCGACCTATAACCTGCTTTTATATTGTATTATCTTCGTAAATAAAGTAGATTTAGATTTGCATGCTAGTTTTAGACACCGTTTGTGATACTCTAGTTATTTTACAGTCCTCAGGTGACTGATTATTTAACTACTTATATATATTGCGTATGCAAAACCTTTCTCGTCACTATATGCCTGAAATATTGCCGAGGTGACGATAAGTTTTAACTCACTCACTCGCTAGGATCAGCTGAGACATCCGCCAACTGACGACGT